GCGTCCTCCACGCGAACCTATGATTACAGACTTCGCAATCACGCGATTTTCACACTAAAACACATATGCATGCAATCCACACTACTACAAAAACACTGTTTAACATCGCTATATTTACATCGATTTTAGTAGAACCGGTGTAAATCATAAATGCGGTGGCAAACTTGTAAATAAATAGAAAATGCAAACATATTTACATCAGTTGGGAGGAGAAACGATGTAAATATAAGCAATTCTACATCGATTTTATGATTGACCGATATAGAAGTGAGCCCCTCATATGTGCCCCGCGAACACGCTAGGTTAAAGCATACTCGGGGCCAAGGCCTCTTCGCTCTCTTCCTCCTCCGTCTTCGCCTTCATAGACGTCTTCGCTCACTATTAGAAACAGAGCAGACCCTTTATTGGTAATGTGCAGGTGCTTCAGCGTCCTCACCTCTTTGGCTGCCATTCTCTACATCGCCGTCAACGTCCTCTCCGCCGTCCGTTCCTTCAAGCACGCATCTGACGTAACCCCTCTCTCTCTCTCTCAATCTTCGTTTCTTATTTTCCGTTACCGTCTGACACCACTCGCTTTCAGATTTTTGATAGCATATTCTACTATTACGCGGTTATCATAGCGGCTTTCGTCGTCCTCGCCGAGACCGAATGGTCTTTCATACTCAATTTCTCCAAGGTTCCGTTCCGTTTCCCTTAGTTACAATCAACACTCTCACGCTGTTACTCATGCTCCTAATCGAATGATTCTTTGCAGGCTTTGGAGTATTGGGCCGTCAGGGGGATGCTGCAGATCTTGTACGCGTTCCTTTCCATTTACTCACAATTATCTTATTTACTTCCACTACTTTCTGATTTTAACTTGCATATTAAATTATGTTCATAGTACGTTCCTAGCATTTTTTAATTCATGATGTTCCTTCAGGAATAGTAAACACATTTTTAAATTCTTGGCATACTAAATGTTTTATCATGAATTACTTGCACAATTTTTATGTTTTAGTTCCAATAGTCAGAATCTACTCATTTTAGTTCTTACCTATACACTTTTTTAATTTGTTTTTAGTCAAAATTGTAGGAACTGCAACGTAAAGACTATTCAATCATTAAGACTAAATGAGTAATTAGACTTGGATTCTTTCCAAATACTGCCTGGCCACTCGCATTGTTAAAATAATGCTTCACAGTTTGGATGTTAAGTTGTAAAGTTCAAACAACAATCCAAATGTCCCCTTGATCAAGTAAACTCACTTAATCTCGTGGGGAAACCAAATAGGGGAACTGTTGCTTAGTTACCCTGTGATGAAACAAAAATCTTATAATAGTGGCTTCTTCTCGTGTTTTGTTACTTTGATTTGATTTAGTAACCTTTCAGTCTTAACTAGGCTAGGTTGCTTGAGTAAACAAAACCAAAAGCTATAGTCTTAACCTGTTTCAAGCTTTATTGCATAAGGCATTCCAATCCCACAGAAGGGCACCTTTGGTTCCTTCTTTTTCCTGTCACCTTTCACAAGATCAACATTGGTCCCTTGACATTTTATATAATGGAACGAAATTAGTCACTCTGAAAATTATTTTGTCATTTGTATTCTCCTCTATAATGCATTGAAACAATGGTGATAATTATTCATTAGTAGTACTGGTATATCGTTTAAACACTAATAAGCTCTGCAACTATTTTTACTTCTCCAGGGCTTTCTGAATTAGCTTTAATTTTCTTCTTCTTCCATTCAAATATGTTGATTTTTGTTTACAAAAAAAATCTGAATCCATCTTTGTGTTTCACGTTTCACAGTTGAGGAAGTATGTTCATGACCTGAGTCATGTAGTTGAGTTGGATAAGATTCAGGTCAAGCAGAATCTGACTTATGAGAAGAGACTGGTAGCTGTGATTGATTTCAAGTTGAAGGAGTTGAGAGGCAAGTCCACTGGATTGGTGAAGTTTCTTTGGGATGCAGCTACTGGTGAGGCTACATAGGAAGATTGAGCAGTAGTGTAGAGAGCAATATCCTTCTTTATTTCCAAGTAAGTCTATTTTCGGGGACGAAAATTCCTATTTGTTTGGGGGTATTGTAACGTAGTAAGTATTTCAGAAGGTGATGGGTGATTTAGTAGCCCAAAACGGGTCGTTTCCAAACTGGAACGGACCATTCCAAACTACTAAATTGGCCTAAAAATCCTAGACTGGAATGGGTCATTCCAAACGTGATTGTTACGAGTTAAATTCAACTCCAGAACGGGTTGTTCTGGTTTCAGAACAGGCTATTCTGCATGTGAATTTTACACATGATAAAGGAGCCCAGAACGGACCGTTCTAGATTCGAAAAGGGCCGTTCTGACCACTCTTGACCTCTATAAATAGGCGTTAAGGAGGGAGAGAAAGGGAAAGAAAGAGGGAGAGGAAGGGAGAGAAGTTTAGAGAGAAGGACTCTGGTCCGCTAGAAAGCTTGATTTTGAAGGATTGAAGTTCGGGAGTCGAGCTCGGAGGAAAGTTTTTCTTATTCCCGAATTCTTGGCTAGCTATTCAGAGCCAATATTCAGGTTAGGGAAGCTTTATGCATTGTGTAAGTTGGCATGATAGATGAACTTTAAATATGTTGGTTGATTTGTAATTTGTGTCGAATATGTTGTATATTGTTGAAGTTGTTTATAAAGTTGTTAAGTTGTCCGATGAAGATGATTTGAGTAGTTGTTGGCTTAAGTTGTTTATAGGTTGTGTGGTTGATGAAACTCAGTTGTTTACATGTTGTCTATCGTTGAATTATTAATAATTTGAGATGTATAAGTTGAAGTAGATTATTGTTGTAAAGTTGTTAAGTTGCATTAAGTTGATATTGTAATGACTATAGTTGTTCTAGTTGTTTAATTAAGTAGTGTAAAGATGCCTATTTCTGTAAAGTTGAAAGTTTCCTTAAAGTTGTTAAAGTTGAGATTGATGACTATAGTTGCTTATTGTTGTAAAGATGCCTATTGTTGTAAAGTTGTTATGATGCTTATAGTTGTAAAGTTGTTATGATGCCTATATAGTTGTAAAGTTGTAAAGCTTCCTATTGTTGTAAAGTTGAAAAGTTGGGGAGATATGGTGAAGATATATGTCCTATTTTGAGATACATAGTACTAAGAAGATAAGTTGAAAGTTGTTTTAAAGTTGAATCCTTTAGTACTGTGTGGGCGACATGGAAGTAGTCGATCCATGTCTTGGTTGAATGACCAATTTGAGTAAGGTATCTAGTTAGAGATGTAGTCTTTGACTAGGTACTGGAGGGTACGTGGTACTTGGAGGATAGTGGGTGGGCTAACTCCATATGTAGATTGGTGATGCTAGTCAAGGCCGTGGTAGGTTTATACCTAAACCTTTCTGACCTGACAGTAGTACTGGACCTCCGAGTCTAAGTGGCACACTTGAGCAATCGCCTATTTATGTCTATACATGGTTCTCTTCGGAGTTCCTAACGATATCCTATACCTGACCTGGTTAAGATAGGTCAAACGCTATATTCGATAGGGTTTATGCCACCTAGATTGCTCAACCTTAGTTGTTGGAGATCTCCTAGTTGTATATGCGTGACGACTTATTAGTTGATGTTGCATGGGTTGTTGTATTCAAGTTGTATATAATATTGTATGAATGAGTTGATAGTTGAGCTATTTTGATAAATACTATGTGATTGTGTTGTGATGAGTTGTTGATCACTAGGACTAAAGGAGAAGTTTTCAAAGTTGTTCATCCCATTGTGCGGATTGTGATAGTTGTGGTGCTCTGAGAGCTCAATTTGCTTAAAAACCCTCCTTGGAAAGTTGTCCCTTGGAGTGGATGATGTGTTGTTCTCCTCTAGGACTTGGTTGGTCCCGTGTGTGGGCAGGATCCAGGCACACGTGTATGAAGCGACCACGGTATAGGGGCCAGGCCGAGCTATACCGATTACAAGCGGCCAATTTGAATAAAGTGCGATGTGTTGAAAGTTGTTGCTAGTAGATGATATTGTATATCTATTGTTGTAGATGTTGTGTTTCTTTAAGTTGCAAGTTGAAAGTAGAATTATATTGTTGTTTATTATATGTTGATGCTATTTTTTATTTATGATTATTGTTGTGAGCTTACCCTAACATGTTTTCCCTATGTGGTTGGGACTCCAATGACCATACCTTGGTATGCTAGCAGATCAGGATAGGTGCTCTGTTGGACTGGGTGAGTTTCGGGACTCAGGAGGAGGGCTGACGTTGTAGTTAGTTGATTGGCAGTTTTTGACTACCTAGTTGTTGAAAGTAGAATTATATTGTTGTTTATTATATGTTGATGCTATTTTTTTTTATAATTATTGTTGTGAGCTTACCCTAACATGTTTTCCCTATGTGGTTGGGACTTCGATGACTATATCTTGGTATTCGAGCAGATCAAGATAGGTGCTCTGCTAGACTAGGTGAGCTTCGGGACTCAGGAGGAGGGCTGACGTTGTAGCTAGTTAGTTGATTGGTAGCTTTTGACTACCTAGTTATTGTATAAGGTATTATTTTCCTACTTTCAGTTATATATATTATGGGACTTTTTATAATTAAGTGAACAACTTTGTTATAAATATGCAATAATTTTTCATTTAATATTATCTGCAAATAATAATCCATCTTCATAAAAATAATATTATTGTAGTAATTATTTCTAACTTTTAATAGCCTTTTAAAAAATTAATAATTATTTTTTATTAGTTAAAAAATTATTTATTATTTTACTTTAATAATATTTTTTTATTTTAATTTAAAAACTAAAAATAAATATATTGTGAATAAAAATAAAAATTTCAATTAAATTTATTTATTTATAAAAATGTAATAAATTATAAAATTAATTAATTAATTAATTTCAGTTTTAAATTTATATTCACTTCTACAAGCATGTGCACATATATACACACATTATTAATTAAGGATTATGAAAATTAATTTCTAGAACATTTATTTATATTTTAATGAATTTTTTCTCAGACTATGCTATAATATCTTTATTGTTACACATAATTTATTATTATTAATCTTTGTTTGGAAGGCACACTTGTTGATTTACTTTATAGATTATATAGAAATGTAAAAAATTAGTAAAACAAAAAATTTTATAACAACCTGGGAGATCTCTATAGTTACAATAACATAGCAGAAAATTGTAATGCCTAAACTTGGAAACTTTTTCTCTCATTCTCTCTAACTCCGGGTAACTGTATTCTTATAGTTGAATAGTTGTGTGTGTGATCAAGAGTTGTGGAGACGAAGGATTTGAGTTGGTGTATAGTCGTCAACGAAGCTAGAATCCTTTTTTAATGGAGTTGTTGAGTTTTTAAATGGATTACGAGTTGAATGTTGATAGAATATTTTAGATTCGTAGTTATGGAGGTTGATTTTGAAGTGGGTTGCATGTTGAAATTTAGAGGTTTTGTTGTTCTTGATGAAAGATTGAGAATTGACAATCTACTTGATATGTTGTTGATGCATGTTTCTTTTCTTTTGATTTATGAGTTGCATATTGTTAATAATTGGAAGATTTTGAGGTTGCGTGCATGAATTAGTTAGAAGTTGAGAGGATTTTAGAGATTTGAGTGGTGTTCATAACTTTTGGGTTGTTCTTTAGCTATGCATGACTTTCTGAGTTTGTGAGGCTAGGCATATGGGTTGGTTTTCATACTTAGTGTGAGAATTGGGATGTACCTCTAAGAAGTTGAGGCTAAGCATGAGTTTTCATGCTTAGTGTGAGGATTGGATGAGCCTTTAGAAGGTTGAAGCTAAGCGTGAATTTCATGCTTAACATAGGATTTTTTAAAATTATTATGACTCTCTAGAAACCTGACACTTAGTGTGAGATTTCACCTTTAGCATGGGAACTTAGCTAAATAATTTTCTTCTCTAATTTAGCTAGTTGCTTACATGATGAATGAGTTATATGAACACTTGTTGTTTTAATTATTTTATGGTTAAATGATGCTGAATAAGTTGTAGGGACAATGTTGCATGATAATGAAATCTATATGTTGAAAGTTAATACGTTGGTGATTTATATTGTGAGTTGCTAGTTGAAAGTTGAGTTAAGTTGTAGATTATGTGATTATATAGTTGTATTGAATATGCTAAATTAATGCATGATGTTGTTGAGATGATGAGTGTTGAGAATACTTTAAGCATTTAAGCATGGTGTTGTTGAGTTGCAATGACCAACTTAAGAATAAAGAAAATATTGTTTTTAAAGTTACATATCCCATTGTGTGGATATTATGTTATGATGTTTTAAGAACCCAATTTATTAACATTTTATTCTTTTTATTAAAATATTTTGTTTAATTTTATTTTATTTTTATTACTTTTAGAATGGTTAAAATATTGTCTTTAATATCTATCATTATTCCCAAAAGAATTTAATGGAAGCTAAAAATTCGCGTAATTCATTTATGAATATTTCAAAAGACAAATATTTTTGATCAAATTAACAACAGTGAAATTTTTCTAATAAATGAAAATATTAGTTTTTATATTATAAAATACAATTTATATTACATTTTATTAATATGTTTTGAAATATCAACAATTACATCAATTGAAGCTTCGAGATATGGGTAAAAAATAATGAAGATTAAAATACTAATATTACTTTGAATATGATTTACAAAGAATAGTTTATGAATAAAAGTAATTTTATATTTAAATTAATCATTTTTCCTTTTATCTTATATTCAAATGAGTTATAACTTTACATTTAGTTTATTAATTTTTTTATAAAAAGCATATGCTTATGACAATATTAATTCTTAATCATAGAGATTATATAATATTCTGATTTAGTTCTTTAAATTATATAATTTACCAATTTTGTGAAAATGATATTTTCATTATCACATAATAGGATGTTAAAAAATAAAACATAAAGCATACATTACATGTTGCAGTGTAGAAATAACATATATTGACAAAGGATGTATATAAATTAACTAATTTTCTGTAATTTCATTATAGTAGAATCTTCATTATCAAAAGTTTGGTGAAGAAGAAAACATTATCCAATTATTCTCTCAAATACAATATACATTAGTTATACTAGCATGTGTCTCCATATATTTTGTAAAGAATAAAAGTCTATGTCTGTATATATTTTGTAAAGAATAAAAGTAAAATAAAAGTGAGTGGTTAATAATAAGAATATTTGAATAGTTTTTGGGTAGACATAGTTGTAATATTTAAAGATAGTTTTTGAAAAAATGGTGGAAAAAGAAAGAATAGATTTGAAAGGTAATTTTAAAGATAAAATTGTTTAAAAAAAACGTGTACAACAAATAAATATTCCTTTTAATTAATAATATAGATAAACTCATTATTATATGCATTAATTCATAAATAGTATATAATAAACATTGTCTATTATTATAAAAGAAGTATAACAATAATTACAAAGTATATAAAATACACTTTAAAACATGAAATTAATTAATTAATAGCGATGAGTTTAAGTAGTATACACGTGTTTTATGTTCTAACCATACTTTTAATGTAATTCCTATGAATCATAAAACATATAAAACTAATAAAAAAATAGTTTATTTTTGTTATATGTATATATTATTATATAAAATATATTTTAAATAATTAATGCATAGCAGTAATAAACATACTAGTTTTATACATTATAATTAGTTGTCTTTAATATATATTTCACTCTTTTTATTTGTACTATATTTAAATTTTCTATTATTACTATCTATTGGATATTTCCATTTATATTGATTTTCTATTTTTATGTTTTAAAATCTTCCATTCACAGTCCATTAGAAAAATGTTTTGTAATTATCCTTCAAAGTTCCATCTGACAGTTCATGCATGACATTAATTAATAGCTATAAAATGACAAGTGTTAGTTTAAATTTAAAAAGTATTTAATGTTTGTCCTTTAAACCAATTAAGAAAATTGTTGTTAATTAATGATGATATTTTCTTTAAAGTATGTAAAGTTTTCTTTTTCCAATTTTGTGTTTTAAAATTATCCATTCACTTTCCAAAAACAAAATGTATTGAAATTATCCAGCAGTCACATATGGCATTATTAAGAGTTTATAAATATAATTACGAGTTTAAAAAATATGGAAGTACTTAATTTTTTTCCTTTGAACCAATTAACTAAGATGATTTGGTAAGATAAGATTGTTAGGGGGTGTATTGGATTAGGATTTTAAAATACTTTTTTAGTTGAAAAAAAATCTATGGATTTTAAAAGACTTTATAGAATTTTTATGACTTTTAAAATTTTATAAGATTCTTTAAGACTTTAAATCCTGATTTTAATGGAATTTAAGACTTTTAAGTCATAATTTTAATGGAATCTGCGAGACTTTGTCAACTTTGCAAAATTTCGTGAATTTTTTACATACAATAAAAGTTCAAGATTTTTTCATACATTCAAATTTAAAGAGTCAAAGATAAATTTTTAAAAATTTTAATTGCTTTCAATTATTCACTTATGAAGAAATATTTTTAGTATTAAATTTTAAGATACCACAATGTCTTATGTTAATTTCTTTTTAAAAATATAAAAAATCCTAATTTCACAATATAAAAATTAAAAAATAAATTTCATAGTAAAAAAAAGAAATAAAATAATTGTTGAGTCATAAAAGGAGGAAACATAACAGTAACAAACTCAAGAGAGAAAGAGAGATCATTATTTTTGTGCTGAGAGAGTTCTTCCCCAACTAAGATTCATTCTCATCTCATTCTACTCACAAAAACCTAACTCAAATTCATCTTATATATATATATATATATGAGTTAATCATTTATACACTGTCAGTGTAAAGTTTTTTTACACTGGCAACCAATCATATATTTTAATAGTGTCATGTCATTTGCTCATTTAATCAAATAAAAATAAAATAAAATAATTTAAAAGATATGATTGGTTGTTAGTGTAAAAATCTTTACACCGGCAAAATTAATTACGAGGTCGTAAAGATCTATATAATTGATTGTAAAAATTATGATATCAATTTTAACTTTCACCTTTTCCTTTTCTTGACGTGTGTTATAAAAAGATTATTACTTAAAAGTTGAAATTTCAAGTAACTTTTTTGTTATATATCTAAGGAACAAACTCAACTAAATAGAGCAAAATAAAAGCAAGTCAATTAAAGAAAACGGAGAGAAAAATAGAGCAAGTCAATCACACTGTCATTTACGTATTGGAATTTCACCAAATATGGGAATGAAATGGGAACAATAATATAATATTATATATGAGTAGTAATGCAATATTATTAGTAGAGAAAAAAATGGAGAAAATAAGAGCATAGAAAAAAATAGATGAAAAACTTACTTGAAAATTCTTAAAGCAGTTGAAAAGTCACTTCAAATAATCCTCCAAAATCTAATGGATTTGGATGAGATTGTTTTATGAATTTGGTATTTATAGATACTACTAAAAAGTCCTTCAAAATCCGTCTAATACAACAATCCTTTAAAATCCTTATATTTTTTAATACTAATGGATTGTTTTTAAGTTGTAAAAAGTCTCAAATGAATACTAATGAATTTTAATGAACTCTTTAAAAAATCTTGAAAATTCATATTGAATACCATTGGATAATTTTTAAGTGACAAAAAATGTTGATTAAATATCAATGAATTTTTTTACTTAAAAAAAGTCTTTTAAAATCTTATGAAATCCTAAACCAATAGTCCCCCCTTAGAGTTCAAGTGTGAGTGAATTTCATATCAATTAAAGTTGGACATGTGGAGTAATATATAACCGAAAAAGACCCACATACCTAATATATATCTTAAGGTTTTAGGTTATGTTATTGTGTCGAGCTCACTTATGTGATTTACTCACTACTCATTGTATGGAGATATACTCACATCCCAATTGGAGAGTTTTACATAGGGGAGCACTCCACTTTGCACAATGAGTAGTGAGTAAATTACTTAAGTAACTTTGACATCACAACATAACTCAAAACTTTAAAATATTAGGTAGGTAAACATTTCTCACTTATATACTACTTAACATATTCAACTCTAACTGATGTGAGATTCACTTCACATTTGAATTCTAATAAATATTCTATTTAAGTAGTTAAAGTTTTTCCTTTTTTTTGCTTAAAAATAATTTTTTTCCTTTAATTCAATTATAATTGATAAACACAATAATTTTTCTTGACAATTTATACGATTTCGTTCCCTATATATACTATCGTTTAGTTAAACAAGAATATCATCACAGATTGTCATTTAAAATCTTGAAAAAAAATGGTGTTTTGTTCTTCCAAAGGTTCATTGGGGGTTATGTTGTATTTCTTGTTGATTTATTTTCTTGCATTTCAGTATTGCTGCGTTGATGCAAACTCAACGCTAGTTGTAAATGCTGCTACCAACGCCTCTGCAAGGCGAATTCCTGACACTCTTTTTGGAGTATTCTTTGAGGTAATGCAACAAATTATTTTCCTTCCATGGCATCAATATTCAAGTTGAGAAATGCTAATTAAGACGAATGAAACTAATGTAGAGTTTGAAAAAAAAAATAGCTAAACAACTTCTCAAAAGTATTTATTTACTGTAATCTAGCTATTTAATAAATAAACAGTATATATAGACCAAATTCATTTCCGGAGATGGATTACTTGACCTATTTTTCAGGAGATGAATCTATATATATATATATATAAAGAGTATGAGAAAAAATAAACAAAACTCATTTAATTTTCGAAAATGTCACTAATTTCTTGAATTCACCTTTCAGGAGATTAATCATGCTGGTGCTGGGGGGCTGTGGGCAGAACTTGTTAGCAATACAGGTTATTTCCATATCCCTAAAACATTTATTCATCAATTAGATTTCAATATTTTTTAAGTGGTTTTTTATTTTCTTATTATTATCAATTTAATTTTAGGGTTTGAAGCTGGAAACCCAAAAAAGAACTTAGATATTCATCCTTGGAAAATTATTGGAGATAAATCATTGATTTCTGTATCAATTAACCGTTCATCTTGCTTTGAGCGTAATAAAGCTGCATTACAAATGGTGGTGCACTGTGGTGGTTACACACCTTGCCCTTTTGGTGGCGTTGGCATCTCTAACCCTGGTTACTGGGGCATGGTAAGAAAATAATTAATACATATATAAATGTTTTTCATATATTTTTCTTTTTGTTATGTAAGTTTAAATATAGCAGAAATAAATCTAAAAAATAAAAAGACTTGAATAATGTCACACCTTTATTTTTCTTAACAAATGACAAATTTATTATTAGTTCAATATGTATATCTTTCTAAAAGTTTTTTTTTTCTTCAACGATCATCAGAATATCGAGCAAGGGAAGAGGTATAAGGTGGTCTATCATGTTAAATCCGAAGGAAAGTCTGATTTTCAACTCTCATTCAAGGGTGTTGATGTTATCGTAGTGTCATCAAATACCACGTAAGCTATTTTTTCGTTAGAAGACATGATGAGATTCTGCAACCTATATACTCGTAAAATTATTTGTAAATTATTTGTTGTGATGGTTCTTTGAGGACAGGAGTGTTTCTGGACATGAAAAATGGAACAAGGTGGAGACAATAGTGGAAGCAAATGCTACTAATCACATTTCACGTCTTCAAATAACCACAACCCTGCAAGGGAGTTATTTGTTAGACCAGGTTTCAGCTTTGCCATTGGACACTTACAAGGTAACAATCACACTTTATTTTTTATTTTTTTATTGAGAAAATCACACCTTATAAATCAAAAAATGTAGTTAAAGAAGATGAAAATGTCATTAGTTTAATTTTTAAAGATTTAATATTAATTTAGTCTTACGATAATTTAAAGTGTCATCGATTAATTATTCTGGGGTAAAAATAGTTAACCACAACTTTAGGTATTTCCTATTGAAAAATTAAATTAACTTTGATGTCACATTAGAATTACATTCATAATTCAATAATAAGAAAAAAGTTAACAAAGAATACTCAAATAATCATTATAAATAATATTTAACTATCGAAAATCACATCTACAGTGCAGATTAAATTTTAATAACTTTGAAATATTGTGTAAATTATATTTATAAAAAAAAATAATTATTATAATAGTATTTTTCTGTGTACTCAATAATAAACTTAATAATAATCATAATAAGTTCTCAATGATCCATTGCTGGAAATGCATTCTGTTTTGTTTTGTTCTTTTTCATCACATAATTTCATTCTTCTCATGAAATAGGGCCATGGCTTCCGAAAGGACCTTTTCCAAATGGTGGCAGATTTGAAACCGAAATTTCTTAGATTTCCGGGTATGTTGAAATTCTATGCTTTCAAAGTGAAGGTTTTTATACAGCATGGTATTAATTAATTTATTTATTTAGAGGAACTATATACGTACGCTGCATTCTTACCTGAACAGTTACTTTAAATGTGTAAATAATTAAATCAGTTTCTAGCTAGAGAGTTATACGTAATTAAAAAAGACTGTATGATGGTGTCAAAAAGCTGTTGAAACTGATCTGGTTGTATGCATTGGTTCACATGTAATTAGACATTAAGTGGTAAGATAGCAAGAACAGAATACTCACTTTTAATCTTGTGTGTGATGGTTTAGGTCGAATTCCATGTAAACCCTTAGAATGGAATAATATTTCTTCTTTGTAAACTTTGATGTAAAAAAACAAAAAAATCGATCCTCGTAGGTCTAACTATTTATCAAAATCATTGCATTAGGAGGTATTTATGTTGAAGGAGGTCATCTGATAAACCAATATCGATGGAAAGAAACTATTGGACCATGGGAAGAGAGACCTGGACACCTTAATGATTATTGGAACTATTGGAGTGACGATGGATTTGGTTATTTCGAGTATCTACAAGTGAGTAACCTTTTACAATTATAATTGAATTTATCCTTCTTAGTTAATTATACTGAACAAATATAATGATATAATATTTTGTAACAGCTAGCTGAGGACCTTGGTACATTGCCCGTATGGGTGTTCAACGCTGGTATGTATATTCATCGTACCGCAATTGAAACTTGATCTCAACAATCACAAGTATTTGAATTTGTCTTTGTTTTTTAACTAATTAATTTTAATTCTCCATTTAGGTTTCGCCCGTTTTAATGAAATTAATACATCAGCCATAGCACCATATGTGCAAGTATAACTTTCTTGAGTTCTTCCCTGAACTTTTCTTCACGGCATTTATGAATTTATATATATATTTATTAATTAATATTATGATGTTTGCATTAATAAAAGGACGCTCTCGATGGCATTGAATTTGCAAGAGGCTCTCCTAAATCAAACTGGGGTTCTGTTAGAGCTGCAATGGGACATCCTAAACCATTTAACTTGAGATATGTTGCTGTTGGAAATGAAGATTGTGATCACTTTAATTACGAAGGTATGTAATTTTTTATTTTATTATTCTTTGAGCACATATTTGTGTGCAACCTTCGCATATATGTGTTTGATTGATTCAATTATTAAATTTATTTCGGCTTTTTGTTACATTTCAGGAAATTACCTTAGGTTCCATGATGCTATAAGATATGCCTACCCAGATATTAAAATTATCTCAAATTGCGATGCTTCTACCACACCATTAAAACATCCAGCTGATTTGTACGATTATCATGTAATGATAACATTCTGATCATGGTTTTAAATTGCGGACCGCAACACGTGTTGCGGCCGCAATATTGCTGTTGCGGCCTTGTCCGCAACGGCATCGGACCGCAATTGCGATGATACTGGAAATCACACATTTTTCCGCAACGTAACGGTGTTGCATCCGCAACACATCTGCAATGTACCGCAATACATCCGCAATACGATAAATTGATACTATAATTTTAAAATAAATTAAATTATTCATTAAAATAATAGAATATTTTAAAAAAAAAGGAATTAAAATGTATAAATCCTTAAAAATAAAATATATATTGATAATTATAAATTTTTTATATTTAGTGAAAATAATTAATAATCTCACACCACAACAGACGCAATCCGCATCGCAATACCCGCAATACCCGCAACCACAGTAACTGCAACCGCGACCGCAACCGCAATTTAAAACCATGTTCAAGACATTAACCATTAATCAGCTTTGGCAAGAGTGTTTGTGTTTCCTTGTTTTGTTTTTCAACTCATCACATCCTTCTTAATGTTTTACTTTTATTAGATTTACTTAGACTCCAATGACATGTTTTCTCAGTCTACTCATTTCGATAACGCATCGCGATCTGGTCCAAAGGTTTGATTAGTTTTTTAGTCTTAAAATGAACTTTCTTTCAATTCATCATTTATGGATTATTGATTTGTCCATAATTTGACATATGAATGCTCAATTTGATATTGCAGGCTTTTGTTAGTGAATATGCTGTGACGGGAGTAGATTCTGCAAATGGAACAGGAAGTCTTTTGGCTGCAGTAGCTGAAGCTGCATTTCTTATTGGATTAGAAAAGAACAGGTTTATATTAGTAGTTTTTTTTTTTTTTTTACCTTAACCATATAAATTTTATATTATTTACATATAATATTTCTTTTCTTCCGATGCAGTGATGTTATCGAGATGGTTTCCTACGCACCACTGTTCATAAATATAAATGACCCGACGTAATTATTTTTCTTATACCTTAATTTGCTGTCAAAACTTATACCTTTGTCATTTTCTTGTTACATAGAATAATAAGCACTTTGAAAATTTATCGTGGTAACCTAATGTAGATTTCAACATGATTCCCATAATAACACAAGGTTATTGTGTAAATGTGTGTCATTGTAGATGGGTTCCCGATACAATTATGTTCAACTCTTACCAGCTCTTTGGAACTCCCAGTTATTGGGTGCAGAAACTTTTCATTGAGTCCAGTGGAGCAACATTTCTTGACTCAACACTCAATACAAATTCATCTAATAAACTCATTGCATCTGCAATTATTTGGCAAAATTCTACAGAGAAGAAAAACTACCTAAGAATAAAGGTAAGAGGTCCTTTTCAACTAAATTTAAATTCTGACTATTATTATATGCAATGTCTTCGAAAGTGAAACAAATATGAGCATTTTTTAGATTATCTCTAGTTTACTTTTGATCTTTGATTAGCATTTATATTTGGGGTAGATGATTTTAACTAACACTATATTCACTTGGAGTTATTAATTAATTGATTTCTGCAGGTAGTAAACTTTGGAAAAGAAAGTGAGAGCCTTAGCATTTCTATAAATGGGTTGAACTCAAATGTGCGACAATATTATGATACTACAACCACAGTGCTTACATCTACCCAAGCAATGGATGTGAATTCCTTCTCAGAGCCGCAGAAGGTACAATTTGGTTTTGCAGTACGTGTGTTAGATACATTACATAAATTAGCCTAGCATGTAAACTAACCCATGTCATTTATCATTTATTTCTACTCATTTTAAATACAGGTGGTGCCACAAACAAGTTCATTAGAGAAGTTTGGCAATTACGTGATTGTGACTCTCTCCCCCTATTCAGTCACATCATTCGATTTGTTAATTTGATTAAAAGTTAGTTATAGCATATGCTCCTTATATTATCAAGAAATGAAATGTATCTTATTGTTTGTCACAGAGAAATTAATGCTATCCCTCTTTATATTATCAAGAAATGAAATGTATCTTATTATTTGTCACAAACAGAAATTAATGCTATCCCATTTATTTTATGTACTTTTCTCTGTATAATTCTCTTTTATGATAAGTGTTTTAGGATTTTAAATGACAAAAGTATTACTCTTTAATGAGTCACGACTTACTCTTTTTTTTTTTTTTCTTCTAAGGTTCATTTCTATTATTTCCTAATTTTCTTTTTTATTGGTTACTATTTTGTTAAAAATTTATCGTACTGAGCCAAATTTGTTGTCATACTTTGGTGCTGTGGCGCTTATCCAGTTATTAATTTATAAGAGAGACTTTTTTTTATACAATTATAACATTTGTAAAAGAAAAAGACAAAAAAAATATAACAAAAATACAATAAGCAAGCTACGAGTAATGAAAATATATAATAGAGTCACAAGATTAAAAAAAAAAAATGAAAAGTCGTTGTAGTTGTCTTCGCGATGTTATAGATGATGCTTCTGCAGCCACAATGGGAGTTGTTCTCTCCCAAGATTCTCATCCCTTTGCTTACTTTAGCAAGAAATTATGCCCTAGGATTCAATCAACTTTGGCTTACGAGAGGGAGATGTTTGCCATCACGGGTATTAATTAATACCTTTTCTACTATCTTTATTTGCATCCTTATCAAAAACGTTTGCAACCTTCTCACATACCCTTAATTAAAGTAAATAATATTGAAATCCCCTACAAATAATAGGTGATACTTTTCATATATTTAAGATAATTTTGATATTATTTTAAGAAAATAAATTTGAATTTAATTTAACTTTATAAAACTGAGTTATAAAATGAAAAGTACTCTTATTTATATATATATTATTAGACTCATTTCCATGATCAATTTGGATCGTCCACAAAGAATCTGACGCATGTAGTACAAGTGGTTAACCAAACTTCTATGCTATGACTACGAAATTATTTACATTCCTGTCAGTAGTAATGCAGTCGCCTATGCTGTGTGCGTTTGTCCCCGGTGTTTAGGTTGAAAATGTTTTGGGGAACAGTATTGGTACAGGCTCCGAAAACGGAGGCCAAAAAACGCTCCGAATATTAAAAAATCTCTTAAATATATTTCTAGTTCCTTAAATTTAAGACAAATTTATTTTTTGTCCTTTAAATTTAAAATTATTATTTTTAGTCCTTATAATTTTCAAAAATCTTGTTTTAATCTCTTAAGTTATCAATAACATATTTGAAAATATGATATTTTCACTAATAGAAACATTAATAGGTAGATTTTATGCAATAATATTTGATAAATTTTTAACAAAATTTGAATATAAGGATTAAAATAAGATTTTTTGAAATTATATGGACTAAAAACAATAATTTTAAATTTGAGGGACCAAAAATAAAGTTATCCTAAATTTGAAAGACTAAAAACATATTTAAACAATTACTATTTTATAATAAATTTATTATAAAATATTTATTTTATAATAAATTTATTAAAAAATAATAATTTTTTAATTTTTCGGACAATTTTTCGGCCTCCATTCTCGAGGATACAACATTTTCCTTTGGGGAATGGTATTTCAGTGGTTTGGATTCTTGAGTCTGAATTTCTTTTGGAGGATGAAAGAGAAACAAGAAAGTTAGGTAAATTGGGAAATTCCCTTTTATAAAAAAAAATGAAAAAAGAAACCCCTCTGAAAAATAAGAAAGGAAGAGGGAGGGAAAGAAAAACGAAAAGGAAAGGCAGAGGAAGGCTTGGGGTTCGAAAAACTTCATGCTTTAAGGGTTACTTGTTTGACTATTTGTAATATCCCAAAATTTTATTCAAATGAAAAGAGTTATTTATTATGTGAATAAGTATTTTATTCCCGTATTTTACTATTCATGTATATGTATTTTACTATTTACATATACGTATTTTACTATTTATGTATACGTATGTATGAATAGTATTTCACTATGCAATTGCATAGTGAAGGGGCGGCTGCACGAGGGATGCGAGTTCAAATTTTTTAATAAATTTGAATATAATAATGAATAATGCATAGTAACTTATAATATTATTTTAATGAATAGTGCATAGTGCATAGTAACTTATAATATTATTTTAATGAATAGTGCATAGTGCATAGTAACTTCAAAATTTCTATAAATAGGGACCTAAGGATTTTGAAAATTCATAACTAGAGAGAAGAAAAGTTTAGAGAGAAGGAATTCTAGAGAGATAGAAAGAGAAAATAAGAGAGAAGGTTCTGCCTAGGTTGTGAAAAGAGGAGGAGAATAGAGAAGGTTCTGCTCTAGTTCCGGTTCCGGTTTAAGGAGAAAGAGAGGAGATTCTGCCCAAATTCCTATTTATCCAGGTAAGGGGGGAGTGGGAAACCTTGCTTGGGGGTGTAGAAATAATTGTTAAATAGTCTGTTTGTTGGATTGGCTCCCGATCCCTTGTCTGTTGTTTGATTATTTGAATATATATTATTACTGTGTTTTGTTTGTACTACTTGATTTTCTTGTTGCGGTAATTAATAATTATAATTAATGGATAACTTCACTTTTACTATTCTAAAATATTCATTGAATGGAAGACTAAGCCTCCTATTAACTTATAAATTTAGACTTTATTATCTAAATGGAAGGCCGAGCCTCCTTATTTTCATTAAGCTTCCTATTTTACTTAAGGATTTAATTATACCATGAAATATAAATTATATGATCCCTAAAGACCTTTGAACTATTGGACCCTTGACTTAATGACCTTTGGACTGTTGAACTGTTGGACTGTTGGACAATGGACTATTGGACTATTGAACCTTTGGACTATGGGACTATTGAATTATTGGACCTTTGGACTATTGGATTAATAAAATATAATATAAGTATGAATTATGCTTATGATATGGTATATTATAGGAAATTCTGTAACATGTTAAATGTTAAGTTTATGATTGTATGACATGCATCATATGCATATATACTCCAGGTGTGCCGCTGAGGCCGCATACCCACGACTAACAAGGTGTACCTTTGGGTCACCCACGATATGCTAACTAGGTGTGCCTTAGGGTCACCAATGATGATATGTGAACTTCCGTATGGCGCCACATGCATATATTTATGAGTTGAGTCTATGACATCATTGCATGATAAATAATTATTATATATGATAATGATTATGTGTGTGTGCTATTTAACTTTTATTTCTTCATCTACAACTGAGTGAGATGTTTCTCACTCCCTTGTTATTTTTTTTGTATATGTTTAAATTTATGTTGCAGGTGATCATCATCATGAGGATGTTGGTGATGAGGCCTAAAGGCTTCTTGGGGCATGCTCTGATAGGATGTGACATCGGGTTTAGCTAGGATTTCTCTTATGTCTTTCTTGTTCTAAAAATATTTTCTTTTCTTGTGTAATTTAATAAATTATAAATTGATTCCTAACTAGGAGGCACTGCCACCTTTACTGGGATTAATTTATAATCTTTGTTTTATAATAACTTCTTGAGTTTAATATTTATGTGTATGAATTATGAATGTGCATCTTCTACCTTATGATACTTATTATTTTATATCATTCTAAGAAAATCTTTTATAAATATAGTTTATGTTTATTAATGATGTTGGGGTAGAGGGTGTCACACTATTGAATTGTTCTGTTAGCCCTTCCCTTTGCTTTATATCTTCTTCTTTATCCTATGAAGGGCCCCTTCTTTTGCATGCATGTGAATTGTGTAGTCACTACAATAAAATTTATTTTTATTGACAATTATTTAACGATAATAAATTAATTATCTTTATTTTATTATTTAATAAAAATATTAATGACTAATATACAATGGTCATTAAAAATATATTTATATTACATTAAAATTTATTATTAGCGATAATTAATTATTAAGAGAAATTTTAGTCTCACATAGACTAGAAATAAGATAATTAAAGAATATATAAATGGATAATAATTTTCACTTTACAAGCTTGTTATGTAGGGTTGAGTTAGACTTATAACTTACTATTCTAAGTTGGTATGAGATTATTCACCATTATCAATCTCAATAATCCTTAAACTTGAGGAGACTGACTTTTGATAAGATAATTAAAAAAAATAAGAAAATTAAAAAAATATATATAAGTAGAAGACAACTCTCATCTTACAAGTCTCACATCGACTAGAGATAAAGTAATTAAAGAGTATTTGTACTCATCTTACAATCCCACATCGACTAGAAAGTAAAAAATGTCATAAAAAGTTACACACTTTTTTCAACCATTATAAAGGTTTTTACCAACATTTAAAATAATTACTGCTAAATATTTTAGCGATACTGCATACAATGACTAATGTGAAAATACTGGTAAAAGATTTTGTAGTAATTTTTATTATCACTAAAAATCATATTAAATGTTACTAAAAGTCTATTTTGTCGGTAGTGAGTGGAGATTTGAGTGGAGATTTGATAGTGTAATTGCCTTTGTCTTTATAAATTTTGAGAGTGGATAAGTAGAGTTGTGAAGCTAGCTTATTAAATAGTAAGAGTTTTTTTTTTTTTTTTTTATAGCTAAAGGGTAAAACTTTCTCTTATTGGATTGACTCATGAGAATAAATTAATACATATAATCACAATTGTATGTTCAAGTCAGGAATTAAACCCTAATTTTTAGTTAGAAATATAAATGTTCAACCACATGCGTTAATGATTTTTAGTCTAGAAAAAATAAAATACTGCTAATGTAAAAAAAAAAAAAAAAAAAAAAAAAAAAAAAAAAAAAAACCCAAAAGCTAGCTAGTTTATACTTGTCACTCTGAGTCTAACAAGATTGGAATTATTCAAAATCTATGTAATTGTTTACATTTGTTGTAACAACCTGAGTTGCGGTGGAGGATAACGAAAATGTGAGGAAAGAAAAACAATGCAGTCACCATCAAATTTATTTAAATAGAAAATTTTGAAAAAAATCTTATTATGGAGAAAAAGAAAGCAAAAACATATTTACAAGAATGGTTAGGTTCGAGAGTCCATTATGCATAAGAAATGGTGAAAATTAAATTTCAGTACACCCCTAATACATTTCTTAAAGAATTTTTTTTTAATTAATTACATAAATTATTGATGAGTTTTAAAATTTGTTTTAGCCCTTTTATTAATACAATAAATAGACAACCAAAAGAAAGATCTAATATTATATTTTTTAACTAAGAATGAAGAGTATTGGAGAAAGTTTGTTTTAGGAGAATATTTTGAAAATCTATTTTAACATTGACAAAGATGATCCTTCTTCTTGCGTATCCTTTGGTGCAATAAGAAATTGAGAATCACGTATTCTTTGTTAACAAAAATAAATATGTATTGGATATCTTTTTACTTAAGTTTGACATCACCAAGTTGTCACAACTTGGATGTACCACATTAAAACATAAAATTAAAAAGGCGTCCCACCTAGATTAACCACTTTCAATTTCATTTTATAAAAGAGGTAATAAAGATAATAACTATATTAATATTTTTTGATAAAGATGAAAACATCAAGTTATCACAACTCAAATGTTTTCACTTCAAAATATAGGATTAACCAGGCATCACACCTAAATTAACCCATATTAATTTTATTTTGTGAGAGAATAATAAAGATAGTAACTATATTAATTGTTTTATAATAAAGAAGATATGAAAACATCAAGCTGTCACAACTTAGATATTTTCACTTCAAATTAATTATAGGATTAACAAGAAGTCATGCCTAAATTAACCCATATTAATTTTATTTTATAAAAAATAATAAAAATGATAACTATATTAATTTTTTAATAATAAAGAAGATGTGAAAACATCAAGTTGTCATAACTCAAATGTTTTCACTTCTAAGTATATAATTAATAAGGTGATACGCCTAAATTCCCATATTACTTTTATTTTATAAGAAGATAATAATGATAATAATTATTAATTTATAATAAAGAAGATGTGAAAACATCGAGCTGTCACAAATATTTTCACTTTAAATTATAGGATTAACAAGATATCATGCTTAAATTAATCCATATTAATTTTAATTTTTGAGAAGATAAGAAAGATAATAATTAATATACTAATTAATTTATAATAAAAAAGATGCAAAATAATCTAGAGTTATCACAACTCACAATTTTTCATTTCAAATTATATGATTAACAAAGTGACACACCTAAATTAATTCATATTGATTTTGATTCAAATGAATAAAATTAAGATAAGTGAATAAAATATATAAATAACTAAATAAATAAAAACTTTATATAACAAGACTAAAGTATGCAATAAAAAATGTATTAGTTCAAGAATCCCATTCGCCTAAATATCAACGTGAAGAAATAAAATTATCACTTTCTTTTATTATAATAATATATAGAGAGAGGAAAAGATGAGTATTGATTAGATCACTATTAGAATTTCTCTTATTACATGCCACTTTTCTCGTGAATTTTTATGAAAATTTTGCGGGAAACGATATTCCTGCAAATTTTTCTGCGAAATTTTATTTGCAGGTAATACCTTCGTGGATAATATATTTTTTCGAATTTTAAAATTTGTAAGAAATTTTCTTGCGAAATTTCTTGCAAAAAAAAATCACAGAAAAGTTTCCTGAAAAAAAAATCGCAAGAAAGTTTCTTGCGAATTTTTTTGCAAGAAATTCTGCAGGAATATTTTTACGAAAAAATACAAATTACTTGAAATTCTATCAATAATTTTTTAACTTTCAAATGCTCATAATGAATTCATTCGAAACATTTGTTTTCATACCTCTAACATGTGATAGATAATCTTTTAAATTCTAAGATTGTAGATTATAAGCCTAACACTCAACCATACAAATCAACTTGTAAGGTAAGTGTTGCCCCAACTTATATACTCTTTAATTATTTTATTTTCAATCGATGTGGGACTTGAAGTTTTTTCAAAATATTAAACTTATAAATTTAAATATTTTTTTGATTTTTCCTACGGATTAAAATTGGCAAGAAAATTCGCATGAAAAGTTACCTACAAAATTTTTCTACCATTTAGTAAACATTACTTGCGAATTTATTTTTGTAAGAAACAAAATAAAATTCTTACAATATTTTCTGCAAATTTTTACCATGGAAAAAAATTTCTATGATCATTAAAATTGTAGAAAAATTTGCAAAAATTTCTTGTACATTATTTTTCGTAAAAAAAATTGTAAGAAATATCTGTAAATTATTTTTCGCAAATAAATTCATAAAAAAAATTTGTGAAATTATTATTGCAAGAAAATTTGCAAAAAAAATTTCCAAATATTTTTCTGTAGAAAAATTTGTAAAAAAATGATACTTTTCTAGTAGTGGATGTGCAGGTGACAAAAAAAATGTGGTTTAAATGTATTTTGTGTTTTTTATAAGAGATCCACTATAAATTATATATAAACATATGTAAGAGGAAAAGGCCACAACTGGTTCAATAAATGCAACCACGTTGCTACCGAGTCGAACCTAAAAGGTGCAAGGCTCCTAGCTATCCATATAAAAAGGAAAAGAAAAGTAAAGACAATAAGTGGATAGTAAGAAAATTAGAGTTTTATTCAAGTAACAAAATGATCAAAAGTAAGATCATGTTTACTCGGACTATGAAGCCCCTTTTTTTTCATCTCTACCTACGTTAAATGCTTAGTTAAAACAAGATGAACAATAATAAAGTAAAATAACGTAACTATAAAAAGATAAAAGTCTCCTGTCACACTGATCCCACCCTAAGGTACAATAAACATATTAAAACTGCTACCAAAGAAAAGTTTGGTTACACATGTGTCTACACCCACAGCTTCTAAGCTAAAGTTTCTAACACTCAAAATATTAATATTTTAACTCATGACAAGCAAAGATAAAACATGATGTATCAAGAGAAGAAAGCTAGCACTCGCATAAAGTGAAAATATCTAATAATAGGAAAAGTAGTGTTTAGGAGTTTAGAGAAGGAAGCTGGCACTCGTACAAAGTGAAAATATCGGATAATAGAAAAAGTAGTGTCTAGGAGTTTAGAGAATGTACAAGGTCAAATAAACCCAATTCTATCCTTTGTGTGGAAAAGTCAAATAAGAGGATAAAAGAAAATGTATTGGTGCAAAGAAGTTTTATAACAAACTAGTAAAAAAAAACGGAGCATATTAATTAATGCATTAGAGGCAAGCACAGGCACGTAGTTTAAGTAAGCAAATACACCATGTTTCATTATAAATATTAGTCAAAACAAGAAGTTAATGTAAGTTATCCAACAATATAGTTGGCAAAAGGGTGAGCTTTCTTGCTATAAGGATAGGTATCCTTCTTCCTCTCAAAGTTTATGCTAGTGTTTCTCCTTCCTCTACCTTGATCCCTCCTCTTGTATTTTATACTTCCTTTTTTTAGTGAAGAATGGGAGGAACATTTTTTTATGAAGAAAAATCAAGAGCAAAAGTGAGTGGATAGTGCCCCTCTCTCAATTACCGCATTGTACCCTTCCTGCCTCTAAACCAGCCCCTCCCTTTTGTCTCTTGTTAAACCCATTTATAAGCACCAGATTATGAAAGTTCATGTGAAGATTCAACCTACATGGTTGCCATCAACTTTTCTTTTTTCGAGATATCATTTGCCTTTGTTGTGTTTCAAATGTAAAAATCACAAAGTTCAACTTTCTATATGTATCCTCTACATAATCTTTCTTTTTTTAGTTCTAAAATTAGCTTTATTTTATCACATTCATTTAAATAATTGCTTTGACGTGGGAAGAAGATATGTTGGAGAATAGTATATAGACCAATTTTTTTATGAACTTTCATTGTCAGATTTATTAATTGTTTATTTTATTCTCCTCTCACAACATTGTATCGATATATATCCCTACAGTTGTGTGGATATTATAGACAGAATAAGGTGTTACTACATCGAGCTAGTAGCTATAGCAATTATCTTGGGAGATAAACATTCACAAAAATAGATCAAAACCTTTGTGTATTTTTACAAGCTGTTAATTTTATCATTTTTTTATTTTTGTATTTTTTTTTATGAATTTTCATGGGCCACTTATGATATTCATTATTTTCATTTGCTTCACTCATTTTTATTTTATCATTATTTCCTTCTTTTTGTTTTTGTTTTTGTTTTTGTATTTTTTTTTTTTTTTGCTTTGGGCAACTAGATAGTCCACTTATTTTAATAGGAGAGCAAAACAATAGGTGAATTTTTAATACACATGACACACTATAACAAAATTATTCTATAGTGACACACACTCTATAGTGACACCATATGTGTCACTAAAAACCCACACAATATACAATATATGTTGGTATATTATTAAAAAGTGTAGGTATAGACTATAATGACACATAAAATATGTTGTTAAATCTCATTCAAAATTAACACTAAAATTGTGTGTAACTATATATGTCAAATAAATATATACCTACATATATTGTACCTATAGTGACATTTTCTGTATGTCACTATATGTAACATTTCTTGTAGTGACAATACTAAGATAAAAATTAAAAGAGAAACAAGGAAAATAAATAATAATAATAATAATATTAATAAATAAATAAAGTTGGATGTTCACATTTGTGATGTGTAAAAAAATTTAGAGCATAGAATCATGATGCTAACTTGAATTATTTTCAATTTCATTTATCGGTAATAATCCAAAGTAAGATTATGTTATGTTTAAGTAAAATAATTTAATTTATAAGTGACCGACAATAATAATAACAATAATAATAATAATAATAATGATAATAATAATGATAATAATAATAATAATAATAATAATAATAATAATGATAATAATAATCAACAATAATAATCTACAACTATAATAAAAGGAATTGGACCTTTTGGTGTACACAATTTTTGTCC